TAGCTAAAAATATTCCATTGTATGAATACATCACATTTTGTTTATCCATTCATCTGTTGATGGGCATTTGAGTTTTCCTACTTCTAAACTAACATGAATTATATTACTATAAACATCTGAGCACAAGTTTTGTATGGACATATCTTTTTAATTTTCTTCAGTATACACTTGAGAATAGAATTGCTAGGTAGCAGGGTAATTCCATGTTTAACCTTGTAAGGAACTGCCATGCTGTTTTCCAAAAGGGATGTAGCATTTTTATATTCCCACAAGCATATATGAAGGTTCCAATTTCTCCTCATAGTTACTAACACCTGCTATTATTCATCATTTAACTATAGACATCTTGTTGGGTGGGAAGTAGGATCTAACTGTGATTTTGATTTGTATTTCCCTAGTGAATGCTCATGTTGAGTATCATTTCATGTTCTTATTTTCTGCTTGTATATTTTTTAGAAAAATGTCTATTTAAACCCCTTCCCTATTTTGTCTTCTTCCTGAGTTAAAGATTGTTTTTATATATTCTCAAGGGATACAAGTCCTTACTAATTATATGATTTACAAATTTTTTTCCCATTCTGTTGGTTGTTTTTTTACTTTCTTGATGGTGTACTTTGAAGAAAAGTTTTTAATTTTGATGATGTCCTACTTATTTTTTCTTTTGTTGATTATGCTTTTGGGGTCATATCTAAGAAACCATTGCCTAATCCAAGGAAAATAATGACATGGGCAATATCATTTAGTACTGTCAAAGTACAGAACAGCACTTGACACACAGGGCAGAAGAATATCACCACTGTTTCTTGAGTAAATAAAAAGCAAAAACAGAAAGCTGAGTAACATCTCAAAAGATATAATGTGATAACACTTCAATAATGGAAAAGCTTCACCTCTCTTAGATTCAGCCAGAAAACAAGACTTACTATACTACACAAAGAATTCATAAATTATTTTTATGAGATGTGTTATTATTTGAATATTTTTGGTCAATCCAGTGAAAAATGAGGAATAGTTGGAGGATGTAATCATTCATCTAATGTAGACTTGATTATAAATCAAAGATGGTATTGTTTGAACTGTATCACTTCAAGTGTAAGGCCCAAAAAAATAATCAAATCTGCCATAATATGCAATTGATATACTTTGAAGCTTTTACTTGAATATAATTTAGATATTACATAATAGTTCAAGGAATATCCATGCATTCTTTACCAAGGTTCACTAACAGTTAATATTTTGCTCCATTTGCTTTATAATTTATCTATCCATCCATTCATATGTTTTTTTCTGAACCACTGAGAAAAAATATATATATATTATATATATATATATATATATATATATATGTATATATAAAATGGCCCTTTACCAAGAGATGCTTCAGCATGTATTTCCTAAAGATAAGGCTATTTCCCTATAAAGTACAGTAATCAACATCAGTAAATTTAACAATGATACAACTTTTGTTACTATCCATATTCCAGTTTTGCAAAGTGACCTAAGAGTGTATTTATGACATTCTCCCTTTCCAAACAGAATCCAATCTAAGACAAGCTATTGCATTTAGTTGTCACATTTCTTTAGTATTGTTTAATCTGAAGTGTTTCTATATTTTGGCTATTATGGCATTGACATTTTTGAAGAACACAGTAAGTACCTTTTCTCTTTCTCCATAGCATGTTCCTCATTTTTTATCCATCTCATGTTTACTTACAACTAGGATCAAATGGAATACTATAGAAGTGATGCTGTGCCCTTCACAGGTTTATCATGCCAAAAGACATACTGTCCATTTGTCCCTCACTGGTGGTGTTAATTTCAATCACACGTGGAGATGCTGCCTGGTTTCTCCCATTATTTTTACCACACTAATAATAAATCTCTAGAGAAACACATTAAAACTATAAAATAGCCTATTCTACCTCAAGGATAAATCATTATAATGATTTATAAATGATAAATCATTTATAAGGATAAATCATTATAACAGTATTTTTACTACTGTTATAAAAAGTGACCGCTACAAATTTTTATAATTGAATAAGTTCCATGCCAGTTTAAATATCTGTTTTACTACAATATTCAATGCACAATGCATGTTTATTATAAACTGTCCATTAACTGTCTGCTATCTAGATAGGACATGGGCAATATGGTTTTTAAAACCAACTAGTATCAATCAATGCCCTAATTTTGGTTCCATAAAAAAAAATCTCTACACTACAGAAGGGGCTTAGAAGTTGAATGATGAACTGTAAGAACATTCTTTTAAAAAAAAAAAAAAGAGGGAAAAAGAAATTTGTGAGACAACCTATCCAAATTGCTATCCAAATTGCATATGAAATTACATATGGACTCTGGTCCAACCTTTGCTAAGCAGCAGGATTTTGAGGTGAACTTTAATTCAAGGCTTTTTACTTGAATTAAGCATAGCTAGTTTATATAAAATGTTGAAATAGCAAAGTGGCTTTAGTTTCTGCATTTGGTAATAAGGAGAAAGAAGGCAATTTTTGGAAAGCACGGCAAAATCTTTTTAAATACTTTAAAAAAGAATTAATTTTTTTAAAAGTTTTAAGATACTTCCTTACTCATATATACCTCTATATTATGGGACACCAGTCATCATGGAGAATGGGTGTGCCACCTACATGACAAAACTTCACAGAAGCTAGGAATCCCAGGTGTGGGAGCCAGTGAGTAGGTCAAAGGCTAACACTCAAAAAGAATACAAACTTTGCTATAACCTGCTTTCTCTTTTGAGTCCAGCTTCTCATCTATAACTTTTTCTTACTTATAATACAGCAAAATTGTAGCAATTATGACAAAAGAACTGTTGTTTTCAATCAAAAAACTTTAGGAGCTAAAGCCAAAGTGTGGTTTTGTTGTTTTTCAGGAAAGGATTTGTAGTCACATCCTCAAAGAAGGAAAAGGGAAGAGAAATTAACTCTCTGTAAAGAGGTCAAAAAAATAATTTACAAGTGAGCCAAGAAGAGCAGGTATATGTGCTGGCCCAAACAAGACTACTAGCTGGAGAATTCACCAACAATATGAAAACCGTATCTACCACATGTCAAATGATACAATTTGAGGTCAAATATCGCTGGGCTCAATGAAGGTCTCTACACTTTCTTTATGACCCATATTTCATATTAAATGGTCAGATGTCTTCCACAGGCCCTTAGTAGGGAAAACAAAAACATTTCCATTCAAGGGACTTTATAATATGACCATACTGCACCAGACAGGCCTCAGTGCTGAAGACTATTTCATACATGTTCCTTTGTTAAAAAGCAATCTTAGTTCAGGATCAATATGTGAATTGTGAGAGAAACTTAAATGGCTGTGAGCCACTCTTGTGCAAGGATTCTGTGGCTTATCAGGCTTGGTTTATAATTGGAAACTGTTCTGTCATTGAGAGAGAAGAATGTTCTGAAAATACTCTTTTAATAACCATTTTTCTACCCATTCTTTAAACCCATACTGCTCGATATAGGAACCACTAGCCACAATATGTCTATTTAAATTTAAAGTAAGTAAAGTTTACAACTCAGTTCTTCAGTTGCACTAGCCACATTTCAAGTACTCAATAGCCACATGTGGCTAGTGGCTTTGCTACTACATAACACAGATATAAAATACTTCAACCTTCACAGAAAATTCTATTAGAAAGTGCTGATCTAAACCTTAACTCATTTTTAAAATATGCAATTATAATTCTTCTTTCTGTAGGATATAAAACAAAGTAACTTACAAATTCTTTTATGAAATAGGTTCTCTCATACAAACTGAATATTGTGTCAGGTAAAGGTGAGACAGAGATGAGGAGATCTCAGTAATATCTCCATAAATATAAAAAGTTAATCCCTCTACACTATACTCACAAAAGATCTGTGAAGCCTCTGGCTTACTAGATAATATGCACATGTCCATCTGAATGGATATTATCTGACAAACAAGTAATAAACCTCAGTCACATATTACATAACAATAGAGAGACATTCTAAGAAATTCATTGTTAGGTAACTTCATCACTGAGTTAATATCTTAGAGTATACTTACACAAGCTAAGTGATCTATGCAGTCACCAGGCACTGCAAATCTTATGGGATCATTACACATATGATCCGTTGTTGATGAAAATGTTATCATGTGGCACATGACTATTCTTTATTACGCCTATCCTTTATTTGTTAATGATTCAATCAGATAGTTTATATTTGATATTTCCAAACATGTAAAGTGAGTCATTTTCCTTAAAAAGGAGGCTGCCCAACTTCACAGCTTTGTAACTGAGATACTTCAATGCCAGCTAAATGTCATATGCCACAGCTGTCTCTAAAAATTTTATGAACAAGACCATGAGGCCAATATAAAACTAAATCCACAAACTATGTTTTTACTCTAGTATCAACCATCAAGCGTCCAGGGAAGTCAAACAACTCAAGAATGGATGCTCAGATGCCTATGTAGTTGTTCTGAATTATGTGGCCAACAGAGGCAAAGTCTTTTGACTCTGCCCATGAAAATACCATGCCAAGACACGTCAGATAATATTGGAGCATGAGCCAGGTTATCTCTGCGAGCATATCGGCTACCTTGGCCATCACCCATGCAGAGATGATTTCCAGAAGCTAATCTTACAGTGCCTCAGTTTCCTTTATTTCAATACTCCTTACAGAATCACCCAAAATAAACCTCATCAGTTTTATTTTTGTTTGCTCTTCCCAAGCTCCAGTTTTCTCTTTCCCTAGTATTCACAAAGAGCAAGTAAGAACAAAATGAAAGAAGAGAAAGGCTTTCCTAATCTCCCCTACCCCATCACCAAAGGAAAAAGATCTGTTGTGTTCCTTTGGAATCATTAACTGTTTTGATCTATTTGTATAAAGATCATAGAGCTAATGTCCAAGGTGAAAAAAATTCATCCATATCAACTTAGCTGGTTAGAAGGTTATGCAATGGCTACAAAGTTTTCAGGTTATGACCCAATTTTTCCCTCTTACCTTGGCTTTCCCATCCTGGGCTGACATGTATCCAACACACATGCTCTCCGTTGTGTGGCTCCACAGAAATTCCACTACGTGAAAGAGAACACAAATAGGCACATTCAGATCACAGATGGAAAATAAATCTTTGCTTATTTTTAATAGAACAGTTAAAGATACCTTTATATTTAACATACTCAGCTCCCCACTTTTCATTTGCTCCTTCATAAATGTCAAGATGATTTAATACTGAAAACTGTGTAATGCCATTTACTGTGAAATGAAAAATGTATTTCTTTCTTGTCAAGACTATGATTATTACATGTAAAATAAATGCTCTTCTGTTTGAAACTTCTAACATTAAACACACATACACTCATGTATATTGCACATAATGATTTAGTAAATGTCATATTTCACAGCACAGTTTCTTTTAAAACACAAACTCACTCTCACACTCTCTCTCTCTCTCTCTCTCTCTCTCTCTCTCTCTCTCTCTCTCAGTTTCTAAATATCTTTCACTAGGGAAGGAATGAGGATTCCTCAGACAAATGTCAATTTTAGAGCTGGGACAGAGAAAATAAAAAATGACATTAATCTGGATCTGAACTACCTTGTACCAGTAAGAGAATGTTCAAACAATGAGGTGGGACTTATCAAAAAGACTCAGGTGTAAACATTAAGGGCTCCCACTAGCTAAATGTTTCTATGAAATAAATGAGAGCAATTAATTACATCCTCTGAACAAAATAAGAACCAAGGGTCCCATGGTGATTGAAATAAATAAATGAACAAATGATGAAGAAGACAATCTCTTCCTTCCAGTGGAAAGCAAAGTAATAAATATAGAAGAAAATCATCACAGAGAAGATTTGAAAACGGACAAGCTAGTTACAAGTCTTAAACTATCTCTTTATGAAATTCTTATTAAATATAACATGACAAAGTTCACTGTGAAAAAGCTTGATGGACTCCAACTTATCTAAATAATAAAAGCTAATTTTACCAACTAAGTCATAAACCAAAACCAGTTGCCTCTAGATAAGACACCTTGAAGTACAACATCACTTCTGTGGTATCCCTGCCAAAAATGCATAATAAAAATTGAATGATCAAACACTAAACAGCAGATTGATACAGCAACACTCTACTCAATAATTTGTTTGAACTTATAAAGCTTGTCCAAGCAAAAAAAAAAAAAAGAAACAAGGAAAGTTGAGAAACTGGTCCTGTATAAAGGAGACATGACACTAAATGCAATGGGTCATCCTGTATTATATCCTAGACTGGGGTGATACAGGAGATGTTACAATGGACAACACATTTAAAAATGGTTATAGTGGGCTGGGGGCATGGCTCAAATCGTAGAGCACCTGCCTAGCAGCAAGTGCAAGGCTCTGAGTTTAAACCCCAGTAGCACACACCCACAAAATGGTTACAGCATTTGTATCAATATTAAATGCTATAATTTTGTTATTTATATTGTGATTACTTAGAAGAATGGCCTTGTCCTTAAGAAATACACACTAAAGGATTAGGAGTAAAAGAGCCTGATACCTCTACCTTGCTCTGAATAGTTTAGTGCACGTGTGTGTGTGTGTGTGTGTGTGTGTGTGTGTGTGTGTCTGTGTGTGTGTGTCTGTGTGTAGGAAGGGAAAGAGGGCATATGAATGGAAAAAAATGTGGGGAAATGAAAATAGGTGAATTCTGGGAAAATGAATCATGAGTGTCCCTTGTACTATTCTTCCCAACATTCTATAGTATGAAATTATATTTAAATTAAATGTTACAAAAAGGAAAACTCCCACATACAGGAATACACAGAAAACTGTCAAGTACATAACTTTCAAACTTCTGAGCTTTTAAGGTATTCTTTAAAGATCTGATGTACTTATTCCCTGATAATAAAACAACATTGCTCAACATTAAGCCCCTCTCAGTCCCAGTCATCCATCTGTTCATGTCTCTGAGCTAATTATGTTTAAAGATGAGTGTTTGACTTGAGACACAACTGTGGGATCAGTAGTCCTAGACTCTGAAGGCTTTGCCAAACATGTGGGAAAGAGAGAAGTGGTGAGGGGCAAAACTGAGCTCCTCGGATAGATGCCTCATACCCCTATCATTAATTAATTATCAAACCTGCCAACCTGCTCAGCAGACATTAGCGTGAAAAGTGGAGGAAAACAGCATCATGTAATGAAATTAAGTTCTTTTCACCAGATGTTTCTCCTTCCACACACATCTGCTTTGAACTTCTTGAAGTCCAGAGCAAGGTCTGGGATTCTGGGATATCTAAATTGCCTTACAGAGCAAAGGCTCAAATCTTACTGAAGTTCCTCACAGAGTACTGACAGTGAGTTTTATTCCAAGACAAAGCTAAGGCACTGCAAACATTGTAATTTCTCATTTTGTTCCAAAAAGTAACGTGTTAATTAATTATTAATTAAGAATTAAGCACACAAATAGGTAAAGAAACTGTCAAAATATCCCTATATGCAGATGATATGATCCTATACCTAAAGACCCAAAAAAACTCTACCGCAAAACTCTTAAGACACCATAAACAGCTACAGCAAGGTGGCAGGATACAAAATCAACTTACAAAAATCATTAGCTTTTCTATACACCAACAATGAACAAACTAAGAAGGAATATATGGAAACATTCCATTCACAATAGCCTCAAAAAAAATTAAATACCTAGGAGTAAATTTAACAAAGGATGTGAATGACCTCTACAAGGAGAATTAAAAACTCCTGAAGAAAGAGATTGAGGAAGACTACAGAAGATGGAAAGATCTCCTGTGCTCATGGATCAGTAGAATCAACATAGTAAAAATAGCTATACTACTGAAAGCAATCTACATGTTTAATGCAATTCCCATCAAAATCCCAATGACATTCATCACAGAGATTGAAAAATCTACCTCAAAGCTCATTTGGAAATACAAGAGACCACGAACAGCCACAGCAATACTCAGCAAAAAGAGCAATACTGGGGGTATCACAATACATGACTTCAAACTATATTACAAAGCGATAACAATAAAAACAGCATGGTACTGGCACAAAAACAGATATGAAGACCAGTGGAACAGAACAGAGGACCCAGAGATGAAGACACACAACTATGCTCACCTTATTTTTGACAAAGGTGCCAAAGACACATGATGGAGAAAAGGCAGCCTCTTCAACAAATGTTGCTGGGAAAAGTGATTATCAGCCTGCAAAATTGAAACTAGGTCCATGTTTATCACCCTGTACTAGTATCAACTCAAAATGGATCAAGGACCTTAATATCAGACCTGAAACTCTGAAGTTAGTACAGGAAAGAGCAGGGAATACTCTAGAACTAATAGGTACAGGCAAGGACTTCCTCAGTAGAACCCCAGCAGCTCAGCAACTAAGAGAAAGGATGGACGAATGGGACTACATAAAATTAAAAAGCTTCTGCACAACAAAAGAAATGGTCTCTAAACTGAAAAGACCACCCACAGAGTGGGAGAAAATATTTGCCAGCTATACATCAGACAAAGGACTGATAACCAGAATATACAGGGAGCTCAAAAAACTAAACCTTCCCAAAATCAATGGACCAATAAAGAAACGGGCAACTGAATTAAACAGAACTTTTTCAAAAGAAGAAATTCAAATGACCAAAAAACACATGAAAAAACGCTCACCATCTCTGGCCATAAAGGAAATGCAAATCAAAACCTTGCTAAGATTCCACCTCACCCCTGTTAGAATAGCCATCATCAAAAACACCACCAACAACATGTGTTGGCGAGAATGTGGGGAAAAAGGAACCCTCGTACTCTGCTGGTGGGAATGCAAGCTAGTGTAACCTCTCTGGAAAACAATATGGAGGCTTCTTAAAAAACTAAACATAGATCTGTCATATGATCCAGCAATACCACTCCTAGAGATATACCCAAAGGAATGTGACTCAGGTTACTTCAGAGGCACCTGTACACCCATGTTTATTGCAGCACTATTCACAATAGCCAAGTTATGGAAACAGCCAAGATGTCCCACTACTGACGAATGGATTAGGAAAATGTGGTATTTATACACAATGGAATTTTACTCAGCCATGAAGAAGAATGAAATCTTATCACTCACAAGTAAATGGATGGAACATGATGCTGAGTGAGATTAGCCAGGCTCAGAAGACCAAAAATCGTATGTTCTCTCTCATATGCAGACTTTAGATCTAGGGCAAAGGCAGTAATGTTGTTGGACTTGGGTCACATACTGAGGGGAGAAAAATATACGGGAGGAATGTGGATAGGTAGGAAACCCAAAACTTGAAAGTGTTTTGATGCCCACACTGCAGAGGAGCTAATACAGTAACCTTAAAACAACTGAAGTCAATATGGGAAGGTGACTGGGAAGTAGTGAAGAGATCTGGTAGAGATGAATCAATTCGGGTTGTAATACACTTGTGCATGGAAGCAATGCTAGGAATTTCTCTGTATAGCCTCCCTTATCTCACCTAGCAAAAACACTTTGTCTTTCTTATTATTGCTTATGTCGTCTCTTCAACAAAATTGCAGAAAAGGGCAGAACAGGTTCTGTCTGGAAGCCGGGGGCGGGTGGGTGGCGGAGAGGGAGGGAGGCAGGGGAGAGAAATGATCCAAACAATGTATGTACATATGAATACATGAATAAAGAGAAAAAAATTTACATAAATCAAAAAGAAAGAAAGAAAGAAAACAGTAAAATAAGTTCTTGAATAGGTTTAACATGTGATTTGGGAGGATTCTTCTTTACCAAGTAACTTCTCAAAACATCATGTCATTCAAGTGTGATGTAGAAAAAGGTTGTCCACCCCATGAAACTGTTCCAGTGCCAGAGGATGGGGTAGGTGGTAATGTACTTCAAAAGAACAGAGGTTAGTGGCATTATTATAGGTACATCCAAAATGATTAGTATGCAATCTTATGTAGTCTTTTAGAAAGACCAGAATTCTCAAAAATTGTGTTTAATACTTTGGAACAAGTGAATTTCACCCTTAGTCTTAATGCTAAAGAAGGTGCTACTTCAGTCTTGGTGGCATTCTGCTATATTGACCAGCCCTAAGCCCCAAT